AGTATGTTTGAGATGGAATGACATGGCACAACACCTTGTTTGAGTTGACATGACATGGCAATACATGACATTTTTGAAAAAGGCTTTTTTACTGAAAATGTTGAATTTTGCAGTTCTTTAATATGAATGCCTGCACTACATTATAACATTGTTCTCCAAAAATTATCAAGATTACTTCTTTCAGAAATATACCATCGTTACTCTGCAAAAATGCTGTTGACCAGTGTTATAATACAGATAAATTTTATTAATTAGTTAATTTGGATGAAATAAATTATAATTATTCTCTTTGTACAAAATAAATAATTATGTATAAGAAATAAAATACTTACATAAAAAAGAAGCAAATTCTGTTAACAAAATTCTGTGGGGATTTTACAAAACAACTTATCGGGCCTTGCAACTTCTTTTTTTTTGGGAGACCATCCTAGTAAAACATGTTTTAAAACTTAAAGTTTTTCTTAAAAAGATTAAGTACCATTCTTCTAAAATTAAAAATGAACATCACATAAGATATTTTGACAAAAATTCATAGATATGTGATAGCGTTTTTTAAAAAACAATTCTTATATATGTACAAATATCGATATAAATAGGTATCGATACTTTCAGCCCGATACTTAGTAGGTATTGATACTTTCTTTCTATGCTACTTCCAAGTACAGGTATCGATACTTCCATGGTATTGTTTTATCCCGACCAGTATTGGCTATATTTCTTTTTTTTTATTTAATACTTATTTTTTTATAAATGTCTAGCTCATTGTACATATAACTCCGCGCGATAGTAAATTTTAAACACAAATATCAATATATTCGCCAAACCATGGGCCAAAAATATAGTAAAATTGCGTTTTTAGTTTTTCACCCTGACGTCAGTAATTCAAAAATTATTTTAAAAATTCAGAGAAATGTGCTTAGAGAAAAAGTATGAGTATAAAATTAATGAGGAAATCCTGTAGAATTTAAACATATTCAAGTTTCTAGTGCAGAAAACCAGCCTTTCTGCCATTGAAAATGTCATTTGAAAATTTTATCCTTGAAATTTCGCAATATTTGTTCGAACTTCGTTCTTCTAACTTTGTCAGCTTAAAAATTACCTATTCGTCCTGGTGAATCCAAAAAATTTAAATATTTTGAATTCTAAAGAAATTTCCTTTTGCTTTTGTTACCCATATTGCATTGAATTTTTTAATAATTTTTGGAATTAATCAAAAGGCGCATATTCATAGTCATATTTCGACTTCACATCACTGCGGTTGTTCTGGCTATTTCACACAATTAACAAGAAAATTATACCTTATTCTTTTGCATAATCATGCAATGAAAATAAAACTTACATAAACGGATGATCAAACTTGACATTATTTAATAAAAATGTAATTTTTCCAAAATATCGTAAAGAAAAATCGATACATTTTCACACTCGTTTTGCTATATCGTAAACTAAGTCGAAACTACTTAGGGCCGGTTGTTCAATGTCTGATTAGCACAAATCGGAGGTAGAAGTTCCGGTTAAGCACAACTACTGCTTTATCGATCACATGTTACATGCATGATGTCGAAATCGTCGATAGTGTAGTGGTAGTGATAACCAGACATTGAACAACCGGCCCTTAGTAGAAGTCTGAAATGCGACTATGAATAGAGGTAAATTTTAAGTTGGTACTTAAATTTAAGTTGCAACTTTGTTAGTTTCGACTTAGTTGCTGGACTATGAATACGCGCAAAAGTCCTTCAAAATAAATCCGTCAGAGAGAAAAAATAAAAACGCCACTGTAAATAAAAAAAGTAGGTTTCAAACCATGGTATTAGAGGTATTGTCTTCCTAGAGAGTTTTGCTTCACATCGAAATTCGTGCTCCCTTATTTTCACTTTGACGAAGTTCAATGTTGATTCTTTTACTTTTATTTGGCTTTGCTTTTTGTTTTCGCTCAATTAATTTTTATAATTTTTCAAAACAAAAGAAAAAAGGTTTGAAATTACGTGAGCCATGCAAATTCTGAATTTATTTAAAAGCAAATGTTTTTTCAGGCTTTTGGAAATTGAATAAGTTCTCTGTAAGATGGTTTGTTAAAAAAATACGTGAAAATATCGTCGCTCCCAACGAAGAGTAGCACATCTCAAATTAACGTGGAAGACTAGCACATTTCATTATTCGCGTCGAAAAGTAGCACATTTCAGAATTTTGCGTGGAAGAGTAGCACATTTCAGATTTTTGCGTGGAAGAGTAGCACATTTCACTATTAGCGTGGAAGTCTAGCACATTTCAGATTTTTGAGTGGAAGAGTAGCGAATTCATATAAAGTGGTACTAGCAGCCCTACAAAAACCAAACATACATGTATGAGGTGGGTTTTGTCGAAGGCTGAGGTATGCTCAGCCGCTCCAGAGTCCAACGAAGGTCCCACTAACCCCCACCAAATAAAACACAATGATTTGTGTATTAAGTCGAACACACCCACACACACACATGGCTATCTAGAAGGCCGGCAACTTGTCGTGCAGGGGAGAGAGAGTCGGCAGTCGGTGTCGGAGATTATTCGGCGGGTAATTGTACGGCGACGGGAGTGCTACTAGTGACAGCAAGATTGGCGGTGGTACGCGTCAGTCGTAGCGTAGAGCGTGGCAATGAGAGCAGTCGCGGTGGTTGTGACGGCGACGGCGATGGCTGCGACGGCAGCCTGCAGTTCCCTTGGTGGTGGCGGCCTTAGCGGTGAGGTTGGCAGTGGCCCATATAATGATGAGGGCGGCAGCGACCTCCCGCAGTGGTGTTGTATGCGGAGCTGCTTGTGGCGAAGGGTAAATGCGACCCTTTTTAACTACGACGGTGATAGCGGTACTGGGCGACGATGGTTGACGTTCGCAGTGGCGATTACCGTACTCGTGACGGGTAGTAGCGGCGGCCTGGGGCGACGATAATGGCGGCGGCCCCAGTGATGAAGACAGTAGTAGCGGGCCCTGATGGTGGCAACGGTGACAGCGGCCCTGGTTGGCGATAGTTAGCATTCGCAGTCCTCGGTGATGATGGCGGGCGGCACACGGTTGTAGCTTCGGCCTTGGGGCGGCAGTGGTAATAGCGGCCCCGGTGATGAGAGCAGCGGTACGGGCCCTAGCGGTGATGATGATTATTGCGGCGGCCCTGGATAACAGTGAAGGCGCTGGCCCAATGCTGTCTTGCTTTGCTTGCTTAGCTTTGAAAACTGTCAAAAGTTATTTGGAATATACTAAAACGTATGAAGTGTGGCCAAATGGCAGCTTTGCTTCACTTGCTTTAAGCGCCTCAAAGTTTCAAATAGGCAAATGTTTTATTTGAAAGCGTTTCGTAGGCTTTTGACAAAAAGATATGTTCCCGTTCTAAATCAATTCAAACAAACTGCTGCAGACTTTTATGTACAAAAATTTTCTTACGTAATTTAAAAAAATATATGTATAATATTAGTAATTCAAAGTTTAATACAAAGTAATCTATTACTACGTTTATACGCACGTATTATTT